GCAAGGTGCGGTGCGGTATGTGGATTAGGTCAAGATACTCCACCTCTCTGGTCTGGTTGATAATATCGTTCCAACAGTATCGTTTCTACCCCCCAGCTCTTCCACATGGAATGTGGCAAACGACACGGTACTATGCCCTTCAAGGAAGAGAAATCACTGACATACCGTGACTGTCTCGATGGATGCGCTAAGCTTCCCAACTGCCAGAGTGTGGACTGGTCGACCCGAACGAAGATGTGCTATTATAGGAAACACTCTGGTGCGGCGCCGCTTGTGGCTCCCGCTTATAACTGTGCGTATTCGTTTGGATGCGCCGGTGCCTGTGATAAAGAGGGAGACGATGCTTGTGGATGTGGAAAGGGTAAGCCTGGGACGAGTGGGAGTTCGACTAAGTGAACGGTCTCAGGTGATGAAGTTTCATACTTTGCTGTGATTGTATGGGTGTTTATGCTGAGGCTTCACTTATTTTTTCTATGCTTTGCTTGGTCACTGAGATGGTTTCATAATCTGAGAACTAGATCCCAATATACTGTTTTGGATGTCACTTTTCCTTGCGTGAATAACAAGTTGATAGTTTGAATGGATCCATTTAATCAAATGCATCATGTTATATTATCTTTCACTACATTCGATGGTATGTATGATTAAATTGAGACGTTTGACGACCCTGTATCTCTCCACGAAAGGCTCCACTGTGTTGTTTGTTTTTCTTATTACCAATAAGTTTTACGATTCTATCACCAAGTGAAGTATCCTAACCACCCACAACATAGATAGAACATTACTTGAACATGTGGACCATATTTATTTTATTCGACTCGTACCTAATTCAACACATCGATTTTGATGGTGCTCGTAAGTTTCATAAACAAGGCTTTAAATCATTAGGGCTATTTATAGAGGATCCGGGATGATGTCAGGTATTGAAGCCTGAGGCAGCGATCTCGTTAGTTTCCATGAGGAAAGGATGCCACAACAATCTTCTTAAAAGTCGCCCTGGTCATCCCCGAAATCCTTAGAAACATCCATTCCATCCTCGTCCTCGTCCAGACCCTCGAAGATCATAAATTGCTCGTTCTTGGCGTCTGTGTCGTCGGGGACGATGTTGCCATCCTGGACCTCGCAGTCCTTCAGCACGGATTCGCGACCGACTTTGCTACGCTTCCCGATGATGCATCCGGTCAGCACGCAGCGTTCGCCGATGACGGCGTTGTCGAGGATGACGCATCGAGTGAGACGGGCGCCGCTGCAGATCTTGGTGTTCGTGCCGATGCAAGATTCCTTGATGACACATTTCTCTTCGACGGTCACGTTAGGAGCAAGAAGGCAGTCGCCCTTGGTGACGACACAGCGCTGAGCGACGCCTTCGGGGTGAGCGATTTTCTGGTTGTGTGCGAACGGAGAAGCGGCGGTCTTGCCAACTTCTTCGATAGATTCTAATTTGGCAAGACGGAGAGATGTGGCAAGAAGAACACGGGAGCTGTCGACACGGCGAACGAATGGCGAAGTTTCCTTCTGCATGTAGGCGAGAATAGGCGGGACTTCGACTGCTGTTGGGGTCTCAGTTGCAGCATCTGACTCGGCGCTGTCCAAGGGAGGTTCCGGGCCACTCTGCGCCGAGGCGGAGGTATGTGTGGTGGTGCTCATCCCGCGAAGGTCAATCTCTTCCTGCTCAAGAGCTTGACCGTTGACACTTCCATTGTCGTCGATATTCTCATTCGGCCGCCCCCCCAGAACGTGGTTGATTCCGAGTTTCTCTCCCAGGCCGCGCTGCCACCTGGATTTGGCCCAGTAACCAATGAGATCTTCACTGACTGATTGTAACTTGTCTTGATGGAGCGCCAATTCCTTGACCCAGTAGGGAAACACGTAAAGGTGCGCGTCGCGATAGCTGGTCAGCATTTTGACCTGCGCGTGCTTCTCAACCAAGGAATGACGAACAAGGAAACCCTTGTCCTCTTCGAGTCTCTCCTTCACGGTATCCATGGGCATCGACATGGCGAGTTTCGAAAGCTCATATCGCGAGATTGCCGGCACCTCATCCTGCTCAAGAGGCGCGATAGCCACAAAGTCTTTAACTCCGCTCTTGACGTCCTCCTCCGTGCCTTGCGTTTGGTAGTATACGCTCAGACCGCCTCGAGGACCTCCATTCTCGCCACCGGGGCCTAATGAGTCCGGTCCGTGGGGATTACGACCCTCCCAGACCATCCAAGACTCTAGCAACGATTCACCCGGGATTTCGCAGATAAGATCGCAGGGGAGAAGGAGGAAATCGGATTTGATGCAGGCTTGCACCTCGGGGAGGCGGAGGATTTCAGCGGTTCCGGAGGTGAGTTGAAGATCCTGGCCCGGTTAGCTTGCGAGTTTCACTGCAATACCCGACTCCTTCTTACCTTGGGGGCAAGGACTGTTGGGGAAGGCGAGGGGAGCGACGTAAGATACGGGTTCTGTTGTAGAGCGGCCTGGAGAGGAGCGACGGCGGAAGGAGGAGTAATCAATGTGATATCTGAAGTCATGAGTCCATGTCAATTGCCAAAATTGCGCGCACTCGCTTCACCTACCTGTAATTCCTGATCGCTTGCAGAAATCCAACGGGTAGTAGACCATCGGGCGATTGGCGACGGGAATGAGACATTTCGGGTACTCTTCCGGATTCGAGGTGAAGGTATTCAGCGAGACACCAGGTCCACAGAGGATCAAGGCTTGGAAGCCTGTGGCAGGTACGGGGATCGAGTGCGGCATGTTGAATCAATGCGACCCCGCAGAACAAAGGTGGGATGGATCGAAAGGCTGCCAACGGGCAATGGGAGGATGCGAGGGGGGAGAAGTGTGTCGGGGGGGCGTATATAAGAGAGCTATAGGGGTGGCCTATCAGAAGGGCTCTGCGATTGTCGGCGCAGGCTCTGGACGCGACAAGGTGGATGTGATTCACGTCCCGCCGGAAACTGCAAAAGGGAAGTTTTTTTGCCCGCCGACCCTCGTCACGTGGTGATAGCGATTCTGCCTCTCACCACCGCCCAGTGCGATAGTAGGTACTCTACAAGAGATTGAACTATATTCCACTTCAATGATAGAACAAGCAGATTTAGAGAGAAGGCATATATTGCAGCCTTATTTTTAAAAAAGAACAAAACAAAAAAACTTCGTTGTATGCTGCTGCTATGTGCTACGAACAATCTATACGAGAACAGGGTTAGGTTCGAAAAGCGATTGCTGAAAATGGCAAACGAAAGCTGAATATAGAAGGAGAAGAGACAGGGAAGTATTTAACTGCAACAGTGATGAGAACTTTAAATTTGGACAAAATCGACCCGTCCACCAGCGTTGAATCAAGCCTTTTTAAACATCTAGAGCTTGGACTTTGGCATGTCAAGACCAGTGAGACCAGGAACAACCCGCTTTCCGTCTAGCCAATCCTTGCACTTGCCATACAGTATATCTCGCTCCGGGCCATGACTGTTCAGGTTCAACTTGGGAGGATGGCCGATCTTGACCTCGGCCCAGGCGAGATAGCGGTAACCTGAAGGGAACTTGTCGACCTCTTCTTCAGGAATATGGAAGATCCTAGCGGGATTAACAAGAATGAATTTATCCTTATCGAACAACAGGGTTAGGAAACAGACACCCCAGCGGCCCCAACGTTTCTCGAGAAGGAAGAAAAATCGACTATCGGATTCATTATCCATCTCCACGTCATCGAAGGTGAAGCGACAGGTGATTGTAACCATCTTACACACCGCACGCGAGAGTTCAGGATTAACCTCAACAGAGGTACCACAGATACGGTGTATGATGTACATGAAGGAAGAGCTCTCGGCAAACCCCTCCTTGGATGCTAGAATGAATTTATCGATGTTTCCTTGTTTCCACGATGTTGCGATATACGCATCATCGAAAAACATGGAACGGTAATTCTCCCATCTATAATACCGATGATGAGAAGTAGGCTCGGGGACACTGGAATGAAGGGGCCATACTCAGCGGCTTCACGGTGGCTGCCCCACCCTTCACAAATCTCACGAATTTTAAAGCGCTCAAGAGCCTCCTTGTCAAGATTCCAGCCTCTGGCATTATTACGAAGGGCTTTGGTGGCAAAAGTGTCTGCTGCAGGTGGAGTAACTGGGTAGCGATCAAATACCATAATGAATTCTGTTTATTAATGATAGTAAGATGGAGAAACTGTCGAGGCTTTAGACTGAGAGAGATTACTTGATTGGAAAAGCTCGCTGAAGACCAGGTGATCACTCCATCTACACCTCAAGCCTAAAGGGTTCAGTATCTATACCAAAGCCCGTTACATCAGTTTAATTCCATTGAGCGATATCCTCTAAGAACACTGCAATTGTGCAATCACAGATCTTTTGAATAGAATAATGCAACCTTTCACGCTATAATTACAGTCGTCTTATTCACAACTATGATTGTAGCCATCTCAGCAATCGCCATTGCACAAGATCAGCAGCTAGAATGGTGCGCAGCGAACCCATGAAAATTTACTCAGTGACCGAGAAGCCTGCTTGCCGTGAGCTTCCCTTGAAGTCTATCTCGGGCTAAACCAATGATTCTATAATGTGATAGCGGAAAAAATAGTAACGCTTGTAACTAAGGCATTAATAGTGGCACTAATTCCAACGGTTATTTGCCGTCAATAGAGCTTCCCGGTTTGCGCCAATTTCGCTTCGCCACTACAGTCGCAAAAAAAAAAGGGGGGGGGGGAAGGGAAACAGACAACAAAAGAAAGGAAGAAAGAAACTGAACATTGAAAACTCGGAAAAGTGAAGAAAACAGAAAGAAACAAGAAAGACAAAGAGAGAAGAAAGGATGCTTACCCAAACATTGCGAATACCAGTGCGGAAATGTACGGGACACCGTATACACCGCTCATAATTGTAGACTTTGTTCCGTTCAAGAAGGTCAACCACATTCGGGAACAGCCAACTGAGACCCCGGTCCATGCGACGAGAGGGAATGATAATAGAAGAAGTACCCGCATCATCATGATGCACATGCGATTGGGGCGAGAGAAGACTCCTGGCTGGGATATCTGTGTCTTGTTCCAAAACTTCTTCTCTGCGTAAGGAGCAGGCGCTATTTCCAGCTCCTCGGACCGTTCAACATCAGGAATGTCATTCTCATGGCACTTTTCATACTTATGAGATCTGTGAACAGTATCTTGCTGCAGGCCCTGAGCGATTATGTGCTCATTATTGCTGGGACCGGGCGTGGGAGCGTGTTGAACAGTAGCACGGTTCCAATTTGTCTCTTCGAAAAAGGCAAGGGACACCAGGAAACATATGAAATTGAATATTGCACACCAATACTAAATCCTCCGTCAAGATGGTCCTTTTTGAGGAAATATATTGATAGACTACTTGCCAGCACCCACTGCCATCCTTGACCTGCTGCGATGAATCCGGCGACAAGAGGCGCGACACTATTCTTTGCGAAGCATCCAGGAGTGTTGCTGGCTCTCAATTACTACGAAGCAGCTGCTCCGCAGAATCCCGAAGGATCTGGGACTTTGCTCACAGTGATCTTGAAGGTGGGCAATTGCTTCAGTTTTCACCATCTTGTGCCAGGATGAGGTCAAATCACTTGAAGTACTGTCGAACAACGGGACATGGATATTTGCAAACCCAATCCCAGGTAATTGTTCCACACGAACATTTGCCTAGTTGAAACGGACAGGGGTGTCTGTGTAATATATATAACAGAACGCATCCTTGACAATCAAACTTCGCAGGTCATTTCGTGGTCAATGTCGGCGATACGCTGAGCGTGTGGACAAACAATACATTCCAGTCAACAATCCATCGGGCGTACAATATGGAAGGGAAAACGCGTCTTAGCATTCCATTGCTTTTCGGCGCCGACCACGACGCGATTATGGAAACACTACCATTTCGCCCGAACGACCGGCCAAATTCAATTCGATTCGAATCGGAGACTATCAGAAAGAGCGCACTTATCTCCAGTATCCCGAGGGGAAAGAAGCGGCGCCGGCATCGGATGTGATGAAGAGCAGGAGATAGAGAGGGTTGAATATCGGTCAGGATGGATGACATGGCTTTCGTGATTTCGTCACCGGAATGCTAGCGAGCTGTAATCTCCCATCGGAACCTATCAGACTCTGGAATGTGAGGTGCTCGGACCACGTACTTCCACTAGTGCCCAGGATTATTGGTCGCAAATCGCGGCAACGCCAATGGCAAAATTTTCCATCTCCACCCCCTTCATTCCTGTTCCGGTTTCAAATAGCCGCTGTGTTGGTAATTGCTAATTCTGGATTGTTGCGAGTGATTTGGTGGGCCTTTCCCCGTCAGTCTGGAGAGGCTAGGCTGTGATCTTGAATGCATTGTTAGTTCTTTTAATAGTTGCAGCGTCAAACATCCCCGGTTGTTGCCAACGATGGCACGGCCCAACGTGGAGGGTTCCGCTCCACTAATTCATAGCGATTATTGATCTCAGCCGCAGGAGGCGCCGATGAAAATCTATAGATTCAAATAAATTCGAGGTCAGCGTAGCCCATCTGGCTGTTCGTTCGAGCAAAAATTTCTCTCAGTTCATACCCGTCGCAAGGGAATAGACAAATATTCAAAGTGTATGGACAGGAAGCTTGATGGTGCGATCTTCAAATGTGCTAGGGCTGACATCATTTGGCGTAAACAGCTTTTGTTCCACGAAAAAAAAAAAGAAAAGAAACTAGTAACATGCTCTCGCTACTAGACTTTTTCGCCACTTACGTTCTGCATGGTAGACAGGCCCCTGCTGCAGAGCACGCGCCTGTCCCCTCTTCCAAAGGCGCCCGGCATGCGACGGAGAGTGATTGGAAGACTTATCTGCTTCGGCTGACGCAGAGAGTTCATGCCCTTCACTGCAGGGCCCGGCAAGATTCCAAACTAAACGCGCATGGGATTACCGACGCCGTTCAAATATGGAACGATCTCGCAAGTTGGAAACCGGGCAAGGAGCAATTATCTACAGATGAGGAAATTATGTTGTTCGGATCCTGCCAATCCGCAATCTTTATCTGGACATACTTTCTCATGCACCCAGACGACATGGAGGGGTGGAAGGCACGGCAATCTTTGAAGGATATATTGTCGAACTTGGCGGAAATCGAAGTGCCCGAGCTTGCGCCGCTGATGGCAATTCCACTCTTCTTTGCTGGACTCACTGCTACAGAGCCGGATGATATAAAAATAATCAACGAGATGTATGAACAGCTGGAGGAAGTTACGCAACATAAAGCTCTCAAAGACTCATGGCGTATCCTCCAAAGGGTCTGGGGTGAGGGTTATAGAGGGACTCGACCTAGTTGGGACTGGATTAGGTAGCATTGATGTATTGGTAATCTCTACTCCATCATTGCGTCGGAGGTGGCTCAAAAAATCACTCGGAACTTTCAAAAAATCCTATAGAGCCAATTTCCGTCAAAAAATGTACTAGAACTACATCAGATATCCATGCTTGTTGGTTTCTGACTATACCCCTCATGGCCGTGCTCAAGCGTCCTGTTGCTTGGGTACAATAGGGCGCGGCAGGCCAGGATAATCAAATGTCGCCGCAACATTCAAAAAGGTCGAATTACTGGGATGAGCGGCTCGATCGTCTCCCTGGAATAAGTATGTCATGGGGAATCCTAGGTTGAAACCATACGTCTGCTTAATCTCCGTTAAGTCCTCCTGTGAAAGCGCCAACCCCAAAGCCTCGATATTGCGGAGAAGATGCTCAATCTTCCGGCCGCCAATGATCGGATGAACATGGGGCGCCTTGTGCATGACATACGCTAGTGCTACACTAGTTATCTCGGTCTTGTACCGCGCTGCAACTGCCTCTAGTACTTTTGAAACCTGAACATCGACAGCGCGGGGGTTGGCTTGTCGCCCCGAATTGCCCGCTAGTGATGCCCTGATTTCCTCTCGCTGGGCAACGGTTTTGAAGCTGGCGCTACCGAGTGCTCCCCAGGGACACAGGCCCATTCCTTCAGCGTGGCACATGGGGATGATGTCGCGCTCAAATTCACGCTTCGCGGCGCTCCACTGGCCTTGATAAACGGAAAAAGGACGAATTCCGTGATCCCAAGCATCTATCGGAGAACATTATCAGCGTGTTGGCGTGTAATGGCTGCCAAAAAGAGTGGGGGCTTACACTGGTTAGCTCTGCTCACTATCCAGGCAGGCGTGTCGCTGGAACCAAGGTATAGCACCTTCCCTGCCATAACGAGTTGGTGGAGAGGGGTCATCACTTCTTCAATTGAGGTGGCGAAGTCCCACCAGTGAATGTACAACTAGGTCAAGCGTTAATTGTACCCCGGTAAGTGAGAAGGGGTGGCACAATGGCCTCACTAGATCAATATAGTCTGTCCGCAATTTCCGAAGACTGGCCTCGACAGAAACTTTTAGGCTCTTTGTGCTGTTTCCCACCGAGTTTGCGAGATTCTCAGATCTGTTGTATGCACGATAGCTGGAGGAATACTTTGTGGCTAGGACGATTTGATCGCGCACGCCCCGGGATCCCATCCATTCGCCTAACCAGGCTTCCGACTCCTCGTTCTGAGAGTTGTTCGCTCCCACCAAGAAAGTCAGAAAGGTTACACGAGACCAGGCATTTATTTATCTCACGTGTCGATAAAATTACCCCCATTCTCGTAGAATGTGTCCGGGATTCTGAAGGTTGTTTCTTTATCACATTCACCGAGGCTTCCTTCCCTATAAAACTTTAGTCAGATCTACGGTATACTCTGTCAATTAGACGCACTGAACGTAGGTACTCATACCAGGCTTCTCCAAAGTTTATTGTTCCAAAGACACAATGGGCTGACTCGGACAGCAGCTGTAGGCGCAAGCAAGGCGGGACATTGGGGGAGGAACAGTAGTGGTAATTCTAGTAGAGATATTGGGTATATTTACACTGATTAGAGAGATGCTTTTTTGGGCGTTGTTGTGGGCTTTTCTTGAGATGTATACTACAAGAGGAATCACACTTTGATGGGGCTCCGCTTTATTACCAACTGCAATACTATGGGAGAAACAGAATACTAAGCAATACGTCAGACTTCTCCAAGGATCTTTTATCAACTCAGAGTATCATCATGTCTTACAGGCTAAAGAGCAAAACTATGTTGCCTGCAGGTCAAAGACGGGCCGACATCATCGCCAAGAAAGTATACAATTCCCTCCTCTCGGCGCTAATTTCGTTCTAAAGGTAGCAAGCTTCGCAGTATTGATTCTGACACTGTATTAGCTATGATTGCCTAGTTACCGCTTAGAATCCATCTAGTCCTGGCTCGCCCCAGGTTATGACTAGCTTTGCGGAGGCAGGGACAACGGTGGCGTGGGAGATTCCCATGTCGGTAAATAGTCGGCCTGGAAGGCCAGGGGGCAACGGAAACTGCTGCCATGAAGTCATGGTTTTCTAGCGGCTTTATTTCTTGTTGTGGCTTTTCGGATCGTTTTTCGGATTCTTTCAAAATAGAAATCTCACAGTTTCTCACAGTTGATATTTAGAGAAGCAAGGTAAGTGGGATTTTGCATAGAACGATGCGGTATGATCAAATAAGCGGCGACCTCTTGTAACGTGAGATGGTACTGATATTTATTTTCACGTTACAGACTACCACTTCAGCTGAGATTCATCTTTATCAGTCTGTAGAATGAGCATCCCAGTGAAGATACTGAGTGCGTAGTTTAATCCCGATCTGAAAACGTACTGTACAAGGGAAGATTAGACTTCGGCAGGACCCATGGGTACCCATATTGGTGTAAAACAAGACAGACAGAGAAGAATCTCGTGACTGCATAGTTAATGCAAATTTGCCTTTAATTTTAGGTATTCTAGTTACATATATGATATAGAACAATTGATGTAGATAGATTCTTCGCAGTACTATAATGATAATCGATTTGAGTTAAATTGATTCCATTCTTTTAATACTGCTTAAAGTTATTATCCTCTCTATATTTACGTTTCCTTCCAGACGTCCGTAGCTGAGTCCTATTCTCCGGCAGCTGAGGCTCCTCAGTATTACTCTCAGCACCAAGACCTACTAACTTATTGGAACTTTTGGAAGTAACTATCTCAGTATCCTCCTCCTCCTCCTCTTCCTCCTCGTCATCGCTAATTAAATCAATCCTAATATCCTCTAGATTCTCATTACTCTATTTTTTTGATGTCTCAATCTCGTTCAAAGTAAAATACTTCTCAAGCTGCTTTGCCTCTGTATCCTTAAGATCAAACCTAGATGCACATAGAAATAGCATAATCTCTTCAATAGTCTCTGACTTCAAACGGCCACATCAAAAATAGCAGACATTACGAGCGGTATTAAAAAGTCGCTCAACACCAGCACCGGTTGCAGGAATTGAGGGAGCATCCCGGGCAAGTAATGTAATTGCAGGAAAACGGGATTGATTATCACGCCAGAATTGGAGAGACTCAGTTTTCACTGGGTCTAGAATCAAATCAGTATAAAACATTAATAGTCAAGATTAACAGAATTACCACTATCGAGATACTGAGTAGCCTTATCTCTAATAGGTTTTGCTACAGCCTTATTCCCACTTAGCATCTTATTAAGCCTTGATGTAGGTCTTAATGATGTTCGGAGTGTAGACGAGGCTTAATCTCTTGAAAGAAGCTTTTGATAAGGAAGTAATGCCGATTGAAATAATTTGCGATATATCTCACGCTAGCTTAGTTCCCAATCATCAGTCTGGAAGAATTGGAATTTGCTATCTGGTGCAAGCATAGTGCCGAAAGCAAAGATATGTCCTTTCATACTATCCGTTTGAGAGTAGTAGTTACTAAGCTTCTGTCGACCTGCTTCTAGTGACTGTAGCATTTGTAATTTCCATCTAACACGCTTCTTTTTTAGCTGGCTTATCGACTGCTCAAGGTGTTCGAAAAGTGCGTTATAAAGCTTAAAAATCAGATGCGTAGTAGCTTCCTTTGTCTTTGATAGCTCAGTAGTATAGTTAAAAAATAGCTGCGTGATACAGAGAAGATAGTCAATTTAACGCCACTTTTTATCATTAAGCAATATCTTTTCGAAATCATATTGCTTACAGAACGGTTTAAATAGCTGCATAGCCGTTTTACACGTTAAAGCATCAAAAATGTCGAGTTCCATCGAGCTCGGACGTCTTGAATAGGCACTAGCCTAGGTTCTTGAGGCTGAAGCTGAAGGAAGGTCTCCCGGCGTTGTAGACTTGCATAGATGTAAATCGCAAGGTAGCGAATCTTATTCAATGTACCCGAGATCTCGCGTTTTTGGTATCTTACATTTGCCTTCGCTGCTGATAATGAACAAACGTTAGTCTTACATTTTCCAGATCTAGGTCCAATTGGCTTAGCATCATCCCAGTCATACGAAGAGTTGTCCACACCCCCTCTCGCGGCAGCTTCGGTGAGGATGATGCCGGGGTGGAAGATAGTGATCTGCATATCCTCGGGGTTGACTTCTAACGCCAACTGCTGAAAATAGTCCGTGCCTGCTAGTTTGGTCATGCCATATGTCGGACGATCAGTGGCATAATGCCGCATATGGGTAACGCAGGTGCTGTCGCTAACAAGAGACTAGAACCGTCAGCATCTGCGAATCCCGGGCCAGACTTGGCTCATGGGGAAGCATACTTTACGTCTTCCTGATTCTCGTCCTTCCCGCTTGTAGACTCTCTCAGCCCAGTCGATGTTCGAGCGCACGTTAGTGACAAAGTCCTGCCAGGCTCCGTCACAACCGGCCTCGAGTAGAAATTTTTGTTTGCCCAACGATGCTGCGTTTAGGACCAAAGTGTCGATGTGAACAGCATTGTTCTTCAGCTCCTACCAGATTGACACGGTGGATTCCAAGCTTCCCACGTCACAAACGCGTCCCTCCACGACAGTTGGCGAATCTTTCCCGGGCCTAGGGACCAGTCGGGAAACTGCGGCTTTCACTGAGTCGGCACGTCTAGCCACAATAATGACATGCTTTGCTTTTGGCGCCACAAAGGCTCGTGCGATGGAGAAGCCAATGCCACTGTTTCCGCCAGTGATGAGGATCGTACACCCTTCCTGACTGATTTCCGGGCGAGTAGGTGAGATAGCCAGATAGGGCTTCTTGTGCAATTTCTGAAGTCCGGGAAGGGCCATTAGGTCCAGCGCAAAAGAAGCTGCTGAATTAGTTCAGGGAGATACAAGTGTGATCTCTGATGATTGATGCTAGACTGGCTGTGAATGAACGAGGTAGTTCTTCGTTGTATGGATCTATGGTTCTTATAAGAATGCCAGGGCTATACTGTCGTAGCGCTGCAAGGCCGACTGTTTCTCATTGCGTAATTAGCAAAGCCAATCAAATGACCTGTTATAGGAACTCGATCCAGTGATTGCGGAGTGGCGCACAAGTTAGACGGGCGATATTACGCAAAAACCCACACCTTTGGCCGCGAGGATTCGAGTCATAATTGGTTGGACGGGCCACTGAGGCGGGATCCAGCGGGTTTTTTTCCGCCGACCCCAAAGTCCGGCGGTCAAGTCGGTCTTGGCTCTTCGTCTTTCGCTTTCAACTTTCCACGAGACACATCCCCATAGAAGACCCCCGTTCGAACTGACAGAGCGTTGCAATGAAACCGAGGCGGGCTTGCGTCTCTTGTACCAGGGCTAAGCGGAGATGCGACAGGCGGACCCCATATCGCGCTCGATGCACCGCCAAAGGGTTCGCTTGTACATACCCAGCACCTCCGATGGCCCCTTTGTACGATATTATGTACACCGAGGACGGTATAATGTCCGCCGTGCGGGGAAATGTGGGTGATTCCAGAGATTTGTGTGTGGAACCCTACTAGAGCGAGCTCGAGAAAGTCGGCGACTATGCCTTCCATGACCGACCAGCTTCAGGATCACCACCCCACTTGTTGCCAGGCAACTCCCTCTCTTCTTCGGATGCCACCTTAGACTCCCCTTCTACGATACTATGGTACCTTGACCCATCTTCCTGGGAGCTCGCACATGCGCCGTACGATGGATGCCTCGCCTGCGGAGATGACAGCCTCAAGTTCTTCGTCGATACACTACAATCCTGGATGAAGCAATGGACGTCCCAAGGGCACTGCGCCTTTATAAACCGTTCTCTCTACTCCGTCAATCTCCCGCTCCCCATTCAGGACGCCTACACCACCTTAGCCGCGTACCAGACCAAGACTTCCGAAACAAAAAGAATGGTCCTACGCATTGCCAAAGAGCGCGCAAGTAACCTTGTTCACAGCCAGCCACCAGAGCCGGCCGCCATTGTGCTCGACATGGCCATGCATCTTGCTCGCACCCAAGCCCTCGTCATCTATACCACGACTTGCCTTTTCGACGGGAACATTAACGCTCGGGCCCAGGCGGAACACGGCATTGAGGTCCTGTTAACCTGGGGATATCAGCTCCTCCAGAGTGCATCCCTAGACACCTATTCTGCGGGGAGTTATGATGCATCGCAGAGCCGGGGTGGGGATTCTGGCGAACCAACTCCTTTCAATCTTCTGAGTATCGGAGGCGACCTTAACTCGATCTGGCATACATGGGTCTTTACCGAGTCTATCCGTCGTACCTATCTGGCCTCCGTACTCCTCATGACGATATATTCCACGCTTAAGGAAGGCTGGTCAGGATGTCCCGGTGGCATTGCATTCACAGGCGATGGAGGCTTGTGGGACGCCCCGTCAGCTTACGCCTGGGGAAGAGTCATGAGGACGGTCAACAATAATAAGATGGGATTTGTGCCGATACGCAGCCACAAGATGGGCGATGTATTGGTTGACAGAAAATATGGAGATGTTGATGATTTCACGCATGCTTCTCTGATCGCTGTCATGGGGCTAGAAAGAGTCGAGCGATGGAGAGAAGGTGTAAACTAGCAGTGTCTGGATTACATTCATGGAATGTGGAGGCAAACAAGTTAATTTTTGCGGATTCCTTGGTAGTTAACTCTATGAAACTGGTCGGTTCAAAATCACTTCTCTATTCACCTATCTATATTTTCGAAGAGAGGAAATGAATACAGATTGCCTACAAAAATTGGGGAACTGAGCAAAACCACTTAACAGTCAGTGCCTGGTAATGATAGGTTAAGCTGCTCACTATGAAGGCTCTAAATGCACCCTACAATATCACGAAGTACTGTCATGTAATAAGACCAAAGCCAAGTCCAATCGGCCCATCGCTGCTATATAATGTGGATGCAATCAAGCAAGTCGGAATGTTCGAACTCAGTAGTTTAGGAACACCACTGACATCTATTGGCAAAACAACGTATATGAATATGGAAACAGTGGCTCATCTCTGGCCTCTCTACTGGTAAATACTTTATTCAAGGGAGTAAAATGAAATTAAAAGGGATTCAAAAAGTTACAATAACTCTCAAACTATGGTTATATATTGGATCATGAAAGTTTCGTATTGCCGAGTAATTTGTATGCAGAATCGAGGCTCAATGAAGGTCTGATCATCTTAATTTAGACGATCGAAACGAAGCTATTTAAAGTGCAATATGATACGTGGCTTCTTTGAAATCGGCTTATCTTGAAGCCATGAAATGCCGTCGGAGTTGATCTAGACGGCAAGCGGCAAGGTGTTGAATCCTGGCGGTAAAATTGCCCCATCTTCGCTGACATTATTATTATTATTATTTAATCAAGTTTATTGTCCATACCGAGCCCCTAGGGCTATGACAGACCGTGTGTCGTCGGCCTGAGGCTAGGCCTCAGGCCCCTATCAGTTCCTAGGGCTATTCCCTCGTTTGTATACATTCTGTTCCTTTTCCTCGCCCCATACCGCCTTCTTGCGCAGGGCCTTTGAGCATGTTTGCTCTCCTTGGGATTCTAGCAGGATGAGTGACGCCTAGATGTAACCAGGCTACCCTTCCTGTTAGCCTTCTCCGGTCTGTTCAGCTTCCTCTAGAGTTTCTAGGCCTCTTTCATCATCTCTCTCTGCCCTGTGTTGGTCCTTCTGGTGTTGTTCTCCAGAGAGAGCCACGCCTGTATTAGCTATAAAGTCCAGTAGGGCTTTAGTAGCTCTAGGCTCCTTGAAGAGCCTGCTTTCCGGGTGACTTTCTTGTACAGAAGGCCTTGCTATTCCCGCTCTATCTAGAGCTGTATATAGTACCTCTCGTTGCCGTCGCCATTGCCTGCAGCTGACTAGTATGTGAGAGACTGTCTGCTTAGGAGCTTGACAGTTTTGGCAGGTCGCTCTTTCCCGCGATTTTATGCGGTGTAGGTATAATCCGATAGCTGCATGTCCTACCTTCATCTGGAAGTATCAGCTAGCTAGGCCCTTAGTAGCTGTTGCTGCTATAGGATCCAGTTGCCAGCCTCTTCCAGATTTATAGGTTCTCTGTGTCGATTGTGATTTCCGGTTTAGACTATTCTCTAGCCAGTGTTATCTGTTTGTTCTTAATGCCTCTGTACGGGTTCTGCGAGTAAATGCTTGTGAGATCTCTCTGCAGCCTGGTCCCGGTATTCGCGTTACGGCTTGTTTTGCTGCTTAATCTGCCCTTTCGTTTCCTTCTATACCTGCATGTCCTGGGACCCATTGAATTATCGGATCACGGCCCCTAGATAGCAGGTCCTGAGCGGCAGTGCGTATATCAGCAGCTATTGTCTGACCTGGTCCAGGTCCTATATGTTGTAGCCTGCGTATAGCTGCTTGGGAGTCGAGTAATATGGTAATTGGTCCTTGGCTTTCTATCTCTCTCGCCAGCTGTAGTCCCTGATAGACTCCTAGGAGCTCTGCATCAAAGACTTCTTGTCCTTTTCCCATTGGGAATGTTTTTGTCTTCCAGCAGCCTTGCTGGGCTTGCCATACTATCCCAGCTCCAGTTCGCTCATCTTCTAGCCTAGATCTATCTGTTCAGATAGTCTGAGCTGCTCGGGCTGCCCGGGCTGCCTGAAATGCTTCCTCTGGAGACTTAATGATGATCTGGCCTGGGAAGCTGTTTTCCGAGATCTGTATTGAGGTTTCGAAACCTCCTGAGGGGTCCACTGGTAGGATCTGATTTAGCCGGCGTACTAGGTGTTGGCCTAGGGACTATGGTCCCCGGCTTAATTATGCCCAATTTCGGTCCTCTTCTGGCTGTTCGTCGAGTTGTACGTGCTGATCCCCTTCTCTAAAGCTGACTGGAAGAATTTGTCTTGCTGGGTAATTTTCGGGTAGACCTAGAAGCCGGATAGTATATTCTAGCTGTCTAGATTCTAGTAGATATTCCGCTGGTGTTAGATCTGTCTCCCGAATAAGAGGGCCGATAGAGGTAGTTCTGAGCATTCCCGTAATTGCCCGAGCTTGTCAATTAAGTAGTTGCTGTACCCCTTCTAGCCGATCTTTCTGGCTCTGCTACCAGAGCTCTGCCCCATATAGAGCTACTGACTGCACTGCAGCTACCTGGATCCTGCGCACCAGGCCTGGGGGTAAGCCCTGTCTGCGACACAGAGATTGCACCCGGGTTTCCGCTGTACGGGCCTTCCGTAGGCACGTATTGTAGTGAACTTTTAGGTTAAGGCCTGCATCCAACCATAAACCTAGCTACCGAGTAGCTTCTTGGTTGAATGAGACTCGATGTCCCTCGATCACTACGCGGGCTCGCTGAATCTGGGCCCTGAGTTTCTGGCCTCGTTTTCGGGTGAAGAAGACTGCCTCTGTTTTTTCTGCGTCGAACTGGACTTTATGTATCTGGCTCTAGCTGATTGCTACTTCTGCTGCCTGCTGTAGCATTTCGCATGTTTCTCTTACCGAATACCCTGGGGCTAGAAGACCTACATCATCTGTAAATGATAAGGCCTGAACCCCTGGTACTGCTGCCTCTATAGCCTCAAAGATTCCGCTGAGATAGATGATGAAGAGGATTGGGGACACTGGTGATCCCTGGGAGACACTTGAGTTAATTGGCTGTTCCGAACACTGAATATTATCGATAACTAGCTGAACCCTTCGGTCAGTCAGAAAGGATTGTATCCAGCGTATCAGGTCCCTATCTAGATTGAGCTCTATCATCCGGGCTATCAGTCTGGCTGGGTTAACATGATCAAACGCTCCTTTTATATCGAGAAAGAGGGCTCCTACTAGCTGTTTTAGGTCCTACGCCTGATGCGTTCGTTGTATCAGACAGGCTATGGCATCTATAGTACTTCGGCCCTTTCTAGATCCCATTTGACCCAGGTGTAAACTCTGGGTAATTTCGCAATGATTAGCTATAGCTTCTGCTGCTACCTTTTTTACTACCTTTCTTAGGCAGTTGAGTAGGCTGATTACCCGGTAAGCCTTAACTTTTGTATAGTCTGGCTTATTCGGCTTCCGCAGCAGAATACCTTTAGCTATTTTCCATGTCTCCGGATGAACGCCTAGCCTGAAACACTGCCTTACCAGAGCTATTAGCCGGGGACTGTCCCAGTTTTTCTCTTTCAGCTCTTGGGGCTTCTATTCCACCTTCTCTGCGGAATAGTGGTCTTCGGGCTATTTTTCGCTGGCCTAATATCCCCTAAACTTAGCTGTTCTGGCTGTTTTTGTGGTTGTCTCTTCTGTTTCTTTGTAACTTCCTGCCATCCTTGGCCTCCTGGTTTGGTTGCTAACAGAGCTGCCAGATCCGCATATGTTGTCTTCTTTTGAGCTTGAGTGACTTGATTATTCGCAGGCTTCTGGTTTAAGTACTGGGCTGGTACAGCCCGTTTTTCGTTTTGAGGTAATTGGACTGTTGTAAGCTCTGACCGGAGCTTGCTAACCTCTATTTCTAGGAGATGAATGCGTTCGAGATAAAGGTCTTCCCGGATCTGTTGTTGGGCTTTCCAGCTGTTTAGCTCTTCGCTGACATTATATATAGTGGTATATGCCCCGTGTCAATAAAAAAGAAAATACAAACCATTAAAACTGCTATGATCAAAATTGGCGTTTAAAGCAGTTTTGATCCGCATGACCCCTTTCTAAAGGTCAACTCAGCAAGAATACCAGGTTGTTTTCATCCACATCAAGAGTCACTCAAATCCGAATCGAGTTCATAAAATGTTGGCGATACTGCCGCCTCAGTCCGCCTTCCCTATATGGCGGCTTGGCAATAGCGCTCAACCCCTTTCCATAGAGAATTCAAGCATTTCTGTGGCAGAAATATGTGGGTCTACCGAAGAAGTGATTCTTCAACTGATTTATATGATCATATTCAAATGAATGAAGGTCTTGATTATTTCTAACTACACGATAAAGAAGCCGATATTTATGCAATTTCAGGGGCTTCACGATCGTCATAAATGAGCGGAATTACATGATTTATCGTCATAAATCAATACGGTTGCATGATCGGTCAAGCAAGGCGATGATATAAGCGGATTAGTCATCTCCCGCGGCCACACCCTCTGATCCGTCCGTACTCCAAAAGTATTCCGACCCAATTGCTAGTCTCCAATGCCACTATTGAACCCAAAAGAACAACGCAGGAAGCCAACAGTCTATCTGAACAGATGAACAGATATGTACTTCCCCTTTTTACGTTTCAAACAAGCGATAGTCAGCTCGTCTTTACATCCGAGCACGCAGCAGGAGCACGAGTCTCTACCGGCTCGACCGCGAAACAAAAGCAAACTGGGCTGTCGGGAATGCAAGACAAAGCGGGTCAAATGCGATGAGGCCTATCCGACGTGCAAGCGGTGCCAGCGTCAAGGTCTTGTCTGCTCGTCAGTCCCGCGGTTGACACAGTGGCAAGTTGAGACACCGTGGCTTTCACTGCAGCCTAAAACGCATGTCAATCGAAGACTACTACAGTATTGGCTGGAGAAAGTCAGCCAAACGTTAGTTATAGATCCTGAAAACAATCCGTTCTCATTCTCTATTTTGAAACACGTTTGCCAATCATCCGCACTTCTCCATGCTATCCAGTCAG